TCTAACACAGTGTTTTTCAACCTGTGGGTCGTGACCCCCAAGGGGGTCACAAAGCCTTACACAGGGGGTTGCGGGTAAAAAAAAGACAAGTGTTTGTAGGTTCTACACTACAATAAAAAAAAACTATAATTTCATTGAGAAGGCTATGCCTGTTTATTTTAAAGTGCAATTGGTTTTTCGATCGATATTTAGGTCTCAACAGAAAGAAAATTAAATACGTAGTTTTTAAAATCACTGGCATAATTTTAATATGACCCTGGGGGTCGGCAAAATTTTTTTAACTTGTAAAAGGGTCGCGTATTCAAGAAGGTTGAAAAACACTGGTCTAACATATGTAAAAGCAACCCACCACAGCATTAGTAACTTCATACACAATGGAGCTAGAAATAGCAACCACATTCAAGAAGGCTAAATTATAAAACCTACCTATTATGTCTCTATCTTAAGAAATGCAGAAAATCTGGAGATTTACAAATCAAGGAGACAGATTGATTAATTTCAAGGACAGTCAAACAATGATGCAACATAGCATACTTAGTTATTTTATTTTATTTTATTTTATGGTGCACCATATCTCTTTTAGTTAAATGTGTTTAACTTAAAATCAAGTAAAGAAGTACCAGAAAAAAATTTTCACTGGATGATAAAATTTTCTTTAAAAATTAAGACGTAGTCACTTCCAAAAATTCTTGAGTGATCATCATATTTCTTTTAAATGTTCCTTAGTGAAAACTTCAGACGACCTTAATTCGCCACCAGAGGGAGGATAGAAGATAATCTACATTAAACAGTGCAAATTTCCAGTAGATATAAAGAAACTCCCAAACGGAGAAGGATGAAATAAGCAAGACGTCGTAAGATCATCAAATCCAATTTTAAAAAAATTATTACATTTTAATTGGTTGTTTCTATGCTTTAAGAAACTTTTTCCAGGACAGCCATGTAGCCTAAAAAGTAAGGTCAGGTCATCTGAAGTTTTCACTAAGGAACATTTAAAAGAAATATGATGATCACCCAAGAATTTTTGGAAGCAACTACATCTTAATTTTTAAAGTACTAGAATAGTTTTTTGAGACCTCAAATCAGAATGATCTGTATATTAGTAAATTTATATCATTCAAACTCTGAATTTCTTCTAAAGATTCAATTTAAAGAAAACCTTTTAAAAAGGTTGAAAATGTACATTTAATAAACATTTATGGTGGTTTAAGATGTATAGAAATTGTTTGTGAATAAATCATGTTTCAAAAATAGCAAATGATAGTAACTTGTTGAAAACTTTATTTTCTTATCTTTCAATAGTTTCACCTCACTAGTGAAAGATGAAAAACATCATACTCTTGTACTTATGTTCTTACATTAATACTAAATATAAAAACAAGTAATTTATAGATACAGGAATCCCTTGTATAACATGATAGATCCATTCCAAAAAAGTGCCACATTATGCAAATTTATGCTATACAAAACAAAGCACTAGTGCAAAACATAAGATTACATTCCAGAAGTTAACAAAAGTATACTATTATTTTTCATTAGTAAGAGAAACATGTTTATTAAAGCAATCAATACTTTATTTCCAATCAATAATTAACTAACAAGCACAATTAAAAGTACTGTTAATTTTAGTTTAATGAGGACATTTTCATTTTTCAAAGTATCATCAGCATCTGAGCATTTTTATTGATCTTGATCAGAAATATCAACAATGTCTTCATTTCTTTGTTTTTATAATAATTTTCTATGGATGACAAAATAAAAATATGTTATTAATTGATAATTTGTTCTAGATGGTTGCATTTGTTCAGTCGAGTACCAATGACTTTTTACAAGAATTTGTGCTCAAATACTGAATTGTTCCAGTTAAGAACAGTTCAAGTACCAAGATGCCGCCATATTTCATTTGTCATTTTTACAAATGATTACTACCTACAGTTAAAAATAAGATTAACAATACTTACCTAAAGATTTTAAATAAACTTTACTAAATACGAAGGTTAATCTATAAAAACAAAACACAATGAGCCTTAAGGGCTAAAGTCTGAAAGCAATGACAACACCTGGTTGATAGGAAAGCTAGGACAAGAAGAAAAAATTCTACTATCAGTTTTCATTAAAACAAACCTGAGACAACACACGTGCTTACTTGAAGAAAAAACAAATCAAATAATGAAGTTTACACTTAAAATTTGTGAAATTTTGTACAGAGGATTTCCAAAACCATGTTAAAGCAAAATACTGTTGTAGAAATACCATGTTGTATGAGTGATATCTGTATTAAAAACATTTTACAATAATTATTACATTTTCTAGAATTCTTGTGTTTTTCTCTACATTAATATTTATCAAAACAATTTATTATCCAAATAACAATTAACAATGAAATTTGCTGTAATCTGAACTTTAGCATATAGGAAAACATAAAGCAATTATATTTTGATTGCATGATTACTAGAAATACATAGCTTTTAATAAAATCTTTAGAATTAATTATTTTAATTGTATAAATATTTATAAGATATTTAACATTATATCATAAATCTTTATTCTTATATCTATTTCAATTCAGTTACTATATAATTTGTGTTATAATTTATTATAAATCTTAAAGTAGTAAATATTCTCTTATAGTAAAAGAATAAAATATTAATACTATTATCAAATATTTTGTTTTGAACTAACTAGAAACTAAAACCAAATGATAAATAATATTATTTAGCTAAGTCATCAAAAAAATTTCTGAAATATTAAATTACCATTTTCATTCTTATAACTGTAATACAAAAAAATTTACAGTTGATCATATTTTTTACATCAATAAAACTGTACACACACACACATATATATATATAAATATATATATATACATTCTATTTTATACATCATCATAATATATTGTAATAATTTTAATATTGATATAACACTTTTAATACTTAAAATATATCCAATGTATTTATTAAAAGTTATACTTAAAAAACAAATACATAAATATTTAATATAATACAATTGACAAACACAACAAATAAGTTCTAATGTTAATTTACAAAAATTATTATAAAATTATTATTTTTTATTCAGCTAATAATACAGTATATATGTATACAAACAACAAACTAATTGTACTCTGACAAATAATTTGATCAATAAAACATAATATATACATTATTGAAAAAAAAATTTTTAATTTATCAAATTGTTAAATCCAAATTTATTACCAAATTAAAAATTCATTAAATTTATACAAATTTTTTGTTTTCAACATATATCCTTTTATAATAAATTAAAAGATTAAAGTAATCAGATAAAAGATATTAGAATAAAAATTGGCATGAAAACAAACAATATTAGTTTGAATTTTTATAATAAACGTATTCTAGTAACTTCTATTCAAAATTTCAACACAATAAAATTGTAATTACTTTAAAAATATTCTTTATATATATAATACAACATTTTAACACATATATTCTCATAATTTAAATACAAGTTTATTCAGATTTTTTATTTCAAAAATTTTTTATAAAAAAACCAATTACATTTTTTAAAATATTACTTTAAACATGTCCTACCTTGATATAGCTCTGTAATTCTCCTATCCAAAACAAGGTTAAAGTGTTACTTTGTAATAGCAACATTTATTACTCTTACATTTAAGTGAGTAGTGCATTGTATAGTAGAATCATTGGTCACAGGTTGAATATCTTTCTTCCATTTATAAATATTTAAAGATTTGGAATGATTTTTCCTGTAAAATTTTTTATTTAAATAAAAAATAATAAAAACTGAAAACAAAAATTAAATTACAAATTAAGTACTTCTATTGATTAAAATCAAACTTCACATAATATACTTAAGTGCTCAATCAAAAATAATTTCTTTTATTTCTATTATTATTTAAAATAAAAACAAATTTTATATTCTTGACATTTCTTTCTAAAGAACTATATTTATAATATTCTTTATTTAAAACTGCTTAACAAGTATACTTTCTTAAATGTAACTGTGGAAAATCATAATTCTGTTATAAAAAAATTATTATTAACTTTCATGTTAAAGTGATTATAAAATTTATAATAAATCAATAACAGAAAATTTATTAACTTTTTTCCAAATTCAATTGAAGCAATAATCAAAACATTTTTCAATATTAAAAACTACATTTACAAAATATTTTAAAGAGAGAAAAATTATAATTTCATAAATAATTTAATAAATAATAAATAAGAGTAAAATGAATTTAATTGTTAAAATATCAATTAATATTATTCTAATTTTGATTGATTGTGATTTTATCGTTTTCAATTTATCACTGTCAACTGAAATAGTCATACATTGCATTGCATTGAACTTATTTTTTAATTACACTAAAATTGAAACCTAAGAAATACAAAAATAATTTTTAAAAATTTTTTAAATTTTTTCCTCTAATATGCCTTCTTATAATATATTAAAAACAAATTTTCAGTTTAAAAGCCAACAATATTCATCTTTACAGCCTACTTCTCATAATAAAATGTTGCATAAAATTTGTAATACTTTATTGTATGAAAGTTATTCATTTATAAAATATTATATTAATAAATATAGATATTTTTTCCAACATTTAAAATTATTGATATCATTTATCATATGTATTATTTTTAAAATGCAAGTTTTAATGTTGAATCACTAAACTAATATGTAATTATAAATAAACTTTGAATAAAGCAGGTATTCAGAAAATTCAACTTGCTTCCTTTGATGTATGTTAGGTTGTTTTATTGTATAATAATAAAAATATTACATTTTGAATTTTTATTTATTTATTTATTTCTGTTCAAGAAATTTTAAAAGTTGATAATTTATAATTTTGATATATATTTATATACTCTTTTTATATTTATTTTCTGATTTTATAAATTGCATAAAATAAAATTTAAGGTTAAATTATAAAATTTTTACAAATTAAAATATAAAATACATATATATATATTTATAAAGTTCTGTAAATCTCAAACTTACCAAGAAACATCAAAATTTTAAAAAATTTACATCAGTACCAACAGACTTGCACCATTTGTCACCTTTAAAAGAAAAAAACATTAGGTAAGATTTCCTTCTTATATAAAATTATTGATACAATTACATTTAATAATAATATTAAATAGTATTAAATTATAATCATATTTAAATTAATTCAAAACAAACACTCAGTTCATTTTTCAATTAAATATCTAATCCAATCATTTTCAGTATTTGTCAGAAAAATATCAATAAAAGTCAAATAAAAAAAATGAATTCAATAATCTAAAATATGTTACATAATTTGTTCAACATAAAACATTGAATTAATTTCATTACAACTAATAGAATTTTAAAAAATTAATCAATTAAAATTATGTAAATTTACAGTGATGTTTATTTTTTTACAATCTGATATGTTTTTTTTTTTTTTAGAACAATTTTTTGTTTTTAAATACTTGTTACCAACTATACCATTATGTTAAACAAAAGAGGAAAATTATTTTGTAACTATATTAATTCATTTTACCATTTACCGAATTATATAAGCATCAACCAAATCATAATTTATTAATCTAGATCCAGAATAAATAAATAAAAATAAATGCTACCGAATAAATTATAGAAAATCAAATAATTTTTTATTAAAACATATTAGAGAACGCAAGACGTGATATTTTTAAAATAATGCTTAGTATGCTTTTTGAGAATTATGTACATGCAGTTTCGATCATGGGATTCTGCACAGGTAACCGAACAGCAAAAGTTTTTATCTAATAAATAATTTCATATTTTTGAAATAATCAATATGCTTACTATAGTAGTTATATTTCAATTTTAAATTCTACACTCCATCTGTTTATAAAATATTCCTTAGGTAAGATGCTTATACCTGTTTTCATCACAAACAGTTGATTGGAGACTAATACTTTTGATTTGCCTATACTTGAAATCTAATCTATTGCAAAGACACATATAATCATTGCACATAACTACCTGAGCACAAGTAATAGATAAGGTGAGGGAAAAATAAACAAATTAACTAATTCAGTGTGTGATGCTAGTAACTAGACAAACCTAGCAAAGAAACTGATTGGAAAATATTAAATATTGCAAAAGGATATTATGAGAAATAGGATATATAAACTGTGTGACACATTTTATCTTATCAAGCATATTAATCACATATTACATCAACATTTAAAAATTTTGTTTAGGATTTATTAACAGGTTAGGCCTAAGAAGAAGCAACATGTTTGAATTTATTATAATTTAGTTTGTGTTTAAATACTGTCGATTGCTAGTGCTATTTATAGTAATTTGCACACAAAAAAAATTATTATTTACCTAAGCCACGATGTGACAAAAACACAAACCACTCATACACAAGACGAACGACCAGGTTAACAAAATGGCGAAACCAATGTCGCCGGCAGACGGCGTTCCAGTTTCCAATCCGGAAGATGATGCTAAAAGGAAGGATCCGGGATGATTTCTTAAGCGTTTTTTTTTTTTTTTT